CGAAGCGGTTCACCTCCAGAGGTCGGGCCAGGCATCTCCAGCCCAGGTATCTCAGCCTCCAGAGGCTGGGCCAGGCATCTCCCCCCAGATCCCCCCCCCCCCTATCTGCTTCGGGACACCCCAGAGGTTGGGCCAGAGGTCTCAGCCTCCAGAGGTTGGGCCAGGCATCTCCCTCCAGATATCCCCCCCTTGTCTTCTTCGGGACACCCCAGAGGTTGGGCCAGGGATCTCCCCCCCCCCCCCCAGATCCCATCCCCCCCTATCTTCTTCGGGACGCCCCCCTCTCCAGGTATTCGGCCATGTCCTCCTCCGCATCTTCAGGCCTTCGCCCAGATCTGAGCGCTGTCGGTCTCCTCCCCAGCGTATCGCTCGTTGCCCCGCCTACCCCGCCCCCCCCCCCCCCGTGCCCGTCACGCTAACGATCGCACTGGGCGGGTGGGCCTGGACCCCCCCCCCCCCAAGACGGAGCCTTTGCATCGTCCTCGGCCGCTCGGGGCCCCTGCCGCGCCTCGGGCGTCAGAAGGCGACCCCGCGGCGGGAGGCGGGCCCCGGGGAAGGGGTCGCGAGGTCGGGGGCCCGTGCCTCGAGCAAACTCGAGGCGCCGGACGTCGGGGAGGGGCGGGGCCCCGACTTCGGATCCGCCGTACTCTGGTTGCCTTCCCGGCTTGGAACCGGGCCGCGCAAAGGCACCCCGAACGATGCGGAGAAGGTATGGCGGAGAGGCCCACCTCAGGAAGAGGCAGCGCGGATACTTCCGCAGAGGTGCGGCGAAAGCAGCGACGGCAGAGCAGGGCGGCAATCGGCATCCAAGGAGCTCCACGAGCAGGGCGAACATCTCCGCCCCGCTTGCGAGACCCACCAAACAGCACGGCGGACCCGGAGTCGGGGGAGGAGGAGGGGGAGGAGGAGGAGGAGGAGGAGGAGGAGGAGGAGGAGGGGGAGGAGGAGGAGGAGGAGGAGGAGGAGGAGGAGGAGGAGGAGGGGGACTAACGCCACAGGGTAAACTTCGGTTGGTCCGGAGCTTGCAGTCTTCTCGCACGGGGCGCTCTCGGCTGGTCTTCCGGGGGGGAGGCGCTCGGAGGCTTCCGCGGGCCCTCGGCGGTGCTCCATGCCTCGGGAGGCTGCCCATAGCGGCGGCGCCTCGCCCCGGAGCGCTCCTGAAGGGTGTCCCGACCGTCCCGGGCGGCAGGCCGGAGGCCCGAGCTGCGACCCGAAGAGCGAAGGGGGCAGGGGGGGGGGGCCTGCGATCCGGGGGCCGCAGGAGAGCCCCGGATCGAATCGACGAGTCGGATCGGATCGATCGAAGCGAGTCGGATCGAAACGAGGTAGGGGGGGGGCCTGCGATCCGGGGGCCGCTGGAGAGCCCAGGATCGCATCGACGAGTCGGATCGAATCGATCGAGACGAGTCGGATCGAATCGATCGAATCGACGAGTCGGATCGGATCGATCGAAGCGAGTCGGGTCGGGCGGAGAAAGCGGCAGCCGAGCCGGCCGAAGAGCCGAAGCGGCGGACGTCGGCAGGCCAGGTCACCTCCAGGGAGACATCGGCGCACAAGTCGGAAGCCGAAGCCGAATCGAATCGGAAGCGGAAGCCATCGACATCGACTGGAATCGAATCGGAGGAGTCGGGACGAGCCCCAGAGAGGGGGGGGACCTGGCGCACAGATCAGAAGCCGAAGCCGGATCGAATCGGAATCGGAAGCCATCGACATCGACTGGAATCGAATCGGAGGAGTCGGGACGAGCCCTGGAGGGGGGGACCCCAAGATCCGGGGGCTGCCATGATTTACTTCCCTCCCGGCGTCTTCGCCGGGTGTCGGGCCCCGGGGCCAGCACAGATCGGTCTGGCTGTAGGTCGGGCATGTCGTCGTTGGACGAAATCTATATATATATACACACATACATACATACATACATGTATATATATGTATATATACGTATAAACATATAAACAAAATAACATTAAACAACTACTCAAAAATAATCGAACATACTAGAGAAATCGTCCCCTCACTATTAAACAAAAAACTATGTTTGAATATTCCTCCTGTAGAGGGACGTGCCCGACTTACGTCTGGCTGGAGAACAATGCCGCAGGAGGTCGGGGTCTCTAGGCTCTAGGGCTCCATAGTGGTGGTTTCTCGCGCGGCTGCGACTTTTTGCAACTTCGGAGGGGCTTGGCGAATCGACTCACATGGGCGACGATCAAAAACGGGTCTTGCGCGAGTTGGCGTAGCGACCTTACGCGGTGGCTTACGCGGGCCGCCAACGAGGCAGGCTGCTGTGGAGACGGGGGCGCTTACGCGCGACCTGATGCAACTTACGTGCCAATGTCGGCGAAGACGACCCCGTTTTTCTTTTGCGTAGCCCGCACGACTGTTTTTCCCGGCGCCTGCTGGCGCCGGAGGCACCCACGCATCGAGGGCTACACACCCGGCGGCGGGACCGAAACCAGCTGCAGGTAGCAGATCCCGTGCTCCCCCCCTGTTCCTGTCCCCT